GTTTTAAGCCTCCTACTCAGCTGTTTCTGTTTCAGTTACTGACTGTGTTTCAACCTACATATGAAATTGATGAGCATTAGTACCTGCTAATCATACAGCTGACTCTAATCCTACAAGATCCCTGACTTTGTGCAAATGTACAAAGTGTGCAAGTGTAAGAATCAGTGCCGGTTTGAAGCCAAAGGGTAGTCACACCAAATATTGATTTGATTTAGATTTCCCTTCTGTTCGCTCATTTTGCATTTTGTAAATTGATAAACATAAAGAATTACAATATATATGTTTGAAAGCATTCTTACTTTACAGTATGTTTTCACACCTGCCTAAAACTTTTGCACAGTACTGCATATTATGTCTATGAGTTCACCAGGATCTGAGCTTTTAAATCTATACAGACTGTAATGTTCACATTTTGGGATATATGCATATGTGTATGTGCATACAGACACACAGATACAACACGTATACAAATATAATACCTATGAGTATTCCCTAATGCTCTGGAATGTTAAGAATTCCATTAAGCACAGTAAATATACTGTTAGGCTTTAAGATTCTATTTTTCCCCTTTTATTACAGGATTAAATAGTTAAGCAGTTCTTAACATCTGCCTTAAACTGGTGCACAATTAAGTCTGTTTAAATTCCAATGAGTGAACTGTCTTAAACATGCTTAACCATGTTCTTAGCTTGAAAGCATGGAATATTTTACATAAAACGAGTTAATGCATTTTAATAAGTTAAAAAAACTTTTACACTGCCCACTCCTGTTTTAGAAGAATAGAGAGAGAAAAAAGTCAAGACAAAATGTGCATCTTGTCAACCTGAACAACTCTTTGGTCTTAAGTGATCAAACTTTTAAATGGGGGGGGGGGGAGATCATTTTAATCTTTAAAAAGTGGGGTCTTGAGTTACAATTTACTGAATTTATATAGAATAAATAATATAGGACTCATTCATAACATGACAGAAAATAAATTAATCTGAAAATTGTAATAGCTTTTGCCATGATTCCATCAAAGCACAAAATAAACAATTTTCCTCCTTAATTCTACAAGACATTAACTGTATATACCAAAATCTACACCGGAATTCCATAATGCTGGCTCTTTAAGAATGTGACAGCTTTGTCTACAATGAATTTGAAATATGATTTGCTATAAAACGGCTTGAAACTGTGGGGCTTTAACAAAATCTTAAATATCTACTAAGAAGAGGGAAAGAGCTTCTGAATAGATAAAAGTAAAATCTTGATTCTTATATAAAATATTATGCATTTTAATAAGATTTTTGCCTGATTTATGTAAAGCTTTGTGTTTTTCATTTTCCCTAGCCTGTCACATTGTAGTGATGTATGGAGCATTTTAGCATCAAGTTTGCCATGAGCAATAAAGCCAGTGCCCCTAAGAAATATTAATATATTTCCACTTTTTTATCCCCTCTCCAGGAGTGTTCTTATTCAGCTTATTTGGTTTCACTTCACATAGTCGGCTAGCATAATTTTTAGTCTCACAGTAATATTTTAAGGCTTTGCAGAGCTAAAAAAAAATCCTTGTCAAACAAGATACTGTATGTACTAAAAGGGCATATTTGAAAATGAGGAACATGGTCTTGGGACAAAGAAAATATTTCTATGAAGAAACTGAATTTTAAAGAAGATGCTAGAGGCAAACACAAAGAAAAGTTCCAGTAATAACCATTTTTTCTGGTTCAGACTGCTCCATAAAGTTTTGTGGCTCACAACAGAAAGGTTTTTAATCAAGAGTTACTCATGGAAAGTCAGAGACAATGAAAGTTTGGGGATCAGTGGGCACATCTGGAGTTTTCTACAAACAGAATGGTTGATATGCTGGTCATAGCCAATCACAAAACCTCACTTAGTAGAAGGCAACAGGGTGAGTTAGCTCCTTATAACCCTCGCCTCTAAGCTCTCAGGATGCTTTTTACCACCTTCGCATTTTTTTCCCTAGGCAGATGTATCATTATGTATCTTTTCTTTTTCTTCTTTCTTTTTTCCTGCACTTTTTATTCTTTCTTTCCAATCTCTTCTCTTTTTCTAAGCTTAGATTGTAATTGGTTTTTACTATTGTAATTAAAATTCTTAATAACAATTATATTTAAAAAAATAAATAATGCATTTTGATGGAATAGACTTCTCTTAGTTCCAGCATTCTTATATATCCAATGCTGGATACCTTAACTGGATTGCTGGGCCACCTCAGCATCACAGATGGTATCTTGATCATTCATTCAAATCTAGTAGTTATCCTTTTTTGTGACTGTTCCATGAGAATTTTATCAAACTGATGTTTTCAAGAATTCTCTTATCCCTTCAAAACTTGACATGGAACATCTCATATCTTGATACAATATTGCACATGCAGACTTTTCAGATTTCCTCTCCAGTTTTGCCAACTATCCTATAATGAGTGCTTTATAAAGGAGGACCCGGAGGAGTATGTGGCAGCCCTACAATTGTCTCCCAAGGGGCACTGTGTCAAGGCTAGCTGAGGTAGCTGCACCTCTAGCTGAGTTAGCCACAGTTTGAACGAGAGTCAGCATAGGAGTTTAAGTCCCTTCATCAGCTGCCTCCTTGTTTTGATGTGGATTTTGGTGGTTACACTTTCTGTTAAGAGGAGGATGTGCTGGCCTTTAACAGAATCTGCTTCTGTCCAGACTCCCTAGGCTTCTTAGCCTAGATAGTGTCCTCCCACCCCAAGGAGTTGCTACTGTCTGTGATGAGCTGGTCTTGGAGGAGGGCCACATGGCCTTAATTTTGCATAAGGCATCTTATAGCCATCAGCTGAGGGAACACTTCACTTTCACCTTCACTGGGGTCATCTGGTGTCTCTTGGATTTTTGGGCTACACAGGTTCTCTGGGTAGGATGGTCTCCTGTAAATCAAGAAAAACCAGGGCATTTTGTTCTGGAGACATTCTATGATGGATCTCAGAGTTTTCATCTGGAACCTGTGGTATCAGATGTATCAGCTTACTCACTTCAGGTCCAAGGTGGTGTCCTATTCCTTATTCCTCTTGGGAACAATAAAGAAAAGGGAAAACAACCCTGAGAATCTCTTGCCTCAGAGGAACTCATGACCTTTTTTTGGCCTTTAGGACCATGTGATATTTGGTTGTCTTGCTTGACTTGGGGAATGAGGTAAAGTAAACTCAGGAGGGAAGACTGGTGAATTCCTCCTGATCATCAAAATATTCACTGTGTTACACTATAAAAACAGTACTAGTAGCATATTCATGTATTAACTCAGAAAGTGCTACTAAGTAGAATATGTTAAAAAAAAAACAACTGAAGAAACACTCCCATTTACCAAAAATGAAGACAATCCTAAATTATCAATCAGTTCCAAGTCAGCAGAAAACTATACTAGCATTTATTTATTTACTTACATGCTGCCCTCTTGAACAACTCTAGGCTTATAATGTGTGTGTGTGTGCGTGTGTGTATACACATATACATACATCTTTGAAATGAACATCACAGTAATATCTTAGTATGCTGCCCCTATTGCTGATTCCTATCCTGCCTCTACTGAGTCTGTTCCAAGTCATGCT